TCACAAAAAAATAATTTTTTAACAATTAAATCAGGATTGCATACCTTTATTGAAGACTAATGCTGGCTTCTGGAATGCCTGATACACTTCCTGCATGCCTGCTACACCCTGCATGTCTGCTGCACTCCCTGCATGTCTGCTACACTTCCTGCATGCCTGCTACACTCCCTGCATGCCTGTTACAGTTCCTGCATGCCTGTTACACTCCTTGCATGCCTGCTACACTTCACACTTAAATTCCATAGTGTTTCTCACTTTCTTTAACACAGGAACTTTCTTTGGAGCCATGGCTACTTATTTTGAAGTTGCATTGCAAAAAAAACAAAAAACAAAAAAACAATGGAAAACAAGCAAAATGTTTGGATATATGAGCAGAAACTTCCTCGCACACTGAGAGATACAGTCAGATTGACGCACAAGCGGCCCCAGCTAGTGGACAGACGGGTCCCAAACGGCCGATCACTGGGAGCTGAAAAAAACGGCTGATGACCGAGTTGGCCAATAGCAGAAACGGCCAATATCCGAGGGTCCACTGTACATTAAAATTTCTTACCATCATGGTGGGAGGGCAAAGTACCAAAAGACTTGCACAGTGACAGGATGACTGTCCAGATGAGGTTTCTCCACACAGGTTACTTTGTTTATCCACATTTCTCCTCATGGACAACTATTCAGAAAAGTTTCTTTTTGCAGGTGACTTTGTTCAGGCAAGTTTCTCCTCACAGGTGACCTTGCTCTGACAAGGTTTGGCCCTCCACAGGCGACTTAAAAACAATTCGGCTTTGAGCAAAACATTATGTAAAGTCTCGGTCTACTCTTTATTACAATTTTTCACTCCCATCTTTATTTACCTCCATAACACCTCTTTTATTTTTCTCAAGCCACGTAACATTCTTTTATAAGCACAACATGCCACAGTGCCTTGTATCAAGAGCCCATCACCAAATTCAAGGCACTGCCCCCTCAATCTGAAGTGCCAATGACAACACACAACAGGTGGAGAGGGGGACTCTTGATGCCAGGAATTGAAGCTATCCTCTCATTCTTCACATCAAACCTGATTACTTCACATTCTTATGGATTTAGTACCTCCCTGTGAGTAATATTTATAATAAGGAAAATATTTCCAATAATAATCATTATACAGATATGTATTTGTACTATAATAATAATATACAGTTATTACAAATATTATAATTAATTGTAATAATGATAATCATGATTTTTTTTACTTATTTTAATCAGGGAAGTGTAAAACCTATATGGGTCATATAGTCATAAGGATAATAAAATAATAATGGTAATCAATCATAATAATAATAACAATAATGATAATAATAACAGGTGGGAAGGAAGAAAAACCAGCCTCAACTGTAATCTATTTAATATTTAATATTGGGTCAAGCACACTTCAAGGGCTACACACACAAGGACAGACACATTATCTTTACACAAATGCCAGACTAGCATGATTTATACAGTGGATTTCAGTTTCACTTTCCTTTTTATCTTTTAATTATATAAGATCTGTTAACAAGGTACTGTTACTCAAGTTTGACTGTACTGTTACACAAGTTTGACTTTACAAGGTTAAAACACAGTTGAGTTTGCTGAATTGTTATCCACTAGAAATCAGCCAATTACTTGCTAGTTTGTAGTTAGACAGACTGGCACTGGGCACACAGCGGTCCCTCTGGTGCTCAGAATAACACTGGCCTCAACGGCACAGTCAGGTTTGACATCATGAAAAAACAAATTCCAAATTTTCAAGCAGCAAAAAAAAAAA